ATTTGTCGTTTCTTTCCGCATCTACCGGCACATGAAGCTTTCTATTTATCCGTCGTGCCTTCGAGTGTGTTGCTTGCGTGTCGTTGAATATTACGTAACCCTATGCTCCGCAACGGCAGTGTCTTTTAATCCACTGTTTTGAGACAGTACCGACTGGAGTGGTTGAAGCAGTCGGACTGCGCATGTGACCCTGATGTTTGGTGAACTGCGGAAGAACGTGTACTTGCCAATTTGAATGAGGTTAGTTTGGCTCCTAAATATACGTTGAACATTTTCATCAATTCGTGCGTTCTGCTTCAGGATTCCTCAGAACCCGTTTACCGTATGTCAGCACGTCGTGGCTGCTTCCACTGTGAAGTTCTGATCACCGTAGTATACTGAAAGCTTGCTTACGCTTCGGCTCTGGTATTCTCTTTAAAATGACCACAAACTTCAACCCACCTTGTTTTCGCGTGGGCTTCCCGTTGCGAGATGGAAATTAGTGAACACAGAGTGTCGAATTGAGCTGAGTCACATAACTCCATCAATCTGTAATCACTCGCATCATGAAAAAATGTCACTTTCTTATAGATGACGTAAACAGCTGTTTAATTCATGGACGACATGAGTGTAGTTGTAAGTGCATTATTTGTTCTTTGAGCAAACATCGAATGGGTTCATTTGCTATTCGTGTAACTTACGTCAACAAGCTTCATTAATAAAGAAAGCGGCAAGGAGAAACAAGACAAAATATAAGTTTAACTTGCAGTTCCATCGCTTTGTTGCTTTCAGTTTTTGTTTTCCATTTTGTTCTTGTTAACGCAAGGAAGATACTTTTGCATTCAGATACTCATGGACAAAAAACTTAATTTATTTACACACGCTTCACTATAAAATTTAAGGCACATTGATTGCAATCTTCGAGAAGCTATTTACCACCCGCTGTACACAGGAACCGAAATAAAGGAGGTTTAATGAACTGAACCTATCAGTTCATGAAATGGAGGATTCCACCAATTAGTATGGATTTAGTACGCATATGAAAAAATGTAAAGTAGCATTTTAACAATCGAAACTTCTTGAAATAAGTTCAACTGTTTGCTCGTTCTTCTTCGTTTTGTCGGAGTCGATCGTAGGCATGAGGGGCTTGTTGGACGGTCGAATCATTTCGTGCCACGGTGGGAGAGGGTCGTCCAGTGCCCTCAACTCCTTTTCGAGAAATATCTTCTCCATGACGAATTTCCGGATGCAGACCATTACCATCAACTAAAATGCGATAGACCATAAGCACACATAGAGAACTTCGAGTACTAGAGTTGCTACCATTAGAGGAAAGGCCATCGAAATCATTTTGATTTCCTCGACAACCGTCAACCCGATAAAAGCAGCCAACTGTATCAAGGTGAACAGGTGAACTCGCTTTATCCTCACTTTTCTAAGCCATGGTTCGTCCGGCTGGTATTTGGTCGGCATGAAAATGATTAAAAGGCGATCGATAAACTGTCAACAAAGCTTTGTCTTAATCACGGGTGAGTGCAACGAATAAGTCTACCTGTTGTCCGTGCAGAGACACGATGCCCATGTAAAGAAATATGCCGAGCAACACCGGTACGGGAATCAGCTGTAAACGCAACCACACCGTAATGACCCACCTATGTGCTCAAACAAATTCATTCAGAACTTACCTTCATCACTGGAGTTATGAATAACGACAGTGCCACGAAGACATGAGCCGTCAAAGCAGTGACTCTCTGTTCCCTAAAAGCAGCCGTTCGTGATGAACATGGTAATAATGGAAATGAATCTCGAATTTCATGTGCAATACAATTGAAAATAAGCAAGGTTTCATTATACGATAAAAAATGAAACAAGAAATAATCATCACATTTAACTCTGAACAATCGGGTGACTGACCTCTACCGACATTTCGGCTAGTCTCTCACGAGCCGAGCTTTTTTCAGAGTTGTCCGGGTTGATTTCAGCAGTTGTCTGTGTGGTCCGCAGCTGTTGTGACATCTGAAGCGAAAGGTGTGCTTTGGCCCATACTGCCGTTTAAGTGGTCTTGATATCACGGGCTCGAAAGGGCTTGTCCAATCCGTGTACAGTTCATATCCTTTATCCTGGTTGACGTTTTTGCAGGATTGGATAATTAAGGCTTCTTTGATTCATCTGCTCAGCCAGTTTCTCTCTTTTTTGATGCCTAGGTTATCTAACCGTAGGGGACGTGGCGTTCCTCCTCTGCTACTTGCTGTATGATCCTCAAGGCCTTTTCACGTTGTTTTTTGACTTTGCTGAGAGGAGGGGTTTGTTTTTTTGGGTGCTTCGTTATTACATGTTGTTCGTGTTCGTCTGCGTTCACTCATCTCCAGTTTGACAGGTGGTCTTTTGTTCTTTAGGTGGCGGTTACAAATTAATGAATCTTCGCAGAAATATAGCTTTCTGTGTTTCTGTCCCAGGTCATGATTCAGAAGGCAAATGAGTGAGAATTTTGAAGTTTGTGTGAAATATTGTTTACCGTTTTCTTGCTGCTACTGAAAAATTGACTATTGCTGCGGTTGTCTTCGTGTCTTTCTGCTAGGTCGATGATTTATTCTAAGCTCAAACGTTCCATGATGGTCGTCACGGCATCATAAGGAATGAAAGTGAGCCGAAAGTCACAGTAAGGGGTGGTAGAGTAGAGATTATTTTGCTGTTTTGTACTGACTTTGCCTGACTTTGAGCGACTCAAACAGCAGTTCGATATGCTAAGGCGTGCTAATCACATCCATCTCATTCTCGATAGTCTACCACAGCTGGCTAGGTGTTTGTTGCGCAGAAAAAAATGCTTTGAATTTGGTCAGCCATT